AAAATGAGGTCTACAAAATTTTTGGGAGTTAGGCTTTTGAGATTTTGGTTCTAGGAGTTTTTGGGTTCGAACTTTTAGAGAATTGAAAGATTTTGGGTTTCTAGTTGTTAGGATTGAAGTTTTGAAACTCTAGGATCTAGGTCAAAATTTTTGAACTTTTTAGGTTCTGGAAAAATCTAGGAAAATCTGGGTTTTAGGGATGAATATGAATTTTTCGGTTGAATTTTTTAGCGAAACTTGAATTTTTCAATGGAATTCCGATGTTTTCTCTAGAAATCGACAAGAATTTTTAGTTTTCGATGGATTTCTTGGTTGAACTTTGAGAGAGGTTAGAGCATATTCTTGGCTAGAAAGAGAAAGAATAAGAGGCTTCTGAGGCGAAAGGCCTAGAGCTGTCTTTTATACTATCCCAAAACAATAATGTTTCTACATACCTAGGATCCATGTGTCGACCCGCTAACCTGCGTATTGACCAGCACCCTAACCCGATCCGAATCACAGATTTTTCTTTTTCTATTTTAATTTTATTTTTTATTTATTTTTTATTTTTATTTTCAATTTTTATTTATTTCGTTTTACTGATTTTTATTAGTTATTTATTTTTATTGAATGATTTTTCATCTATTAAATATTTTGCAAAAAAAAAAAATTATGTTTTTGAAAAATAAAAAACAATAATAAAAAACCTTTTCAAATAATTTAAAAAAAAAATCTTTTTTAAATAAATTTATGGAATCCACTAAACTATTGAAAAATTTTATAAATCAATTTTAAAGAAAGAAAATAAGAAGATATTTTTATCCTTCAAATGATTGTAGGATTATTTCAAGTTAAATCCCACCAAACTATTAGGAGACTTAATGAGATTCTCAAAAGTTTTATAAATATTTTTTATAATAAAATCTCATCAAACTATTGGAAGAATATGCCTCTGAGTAAGTTCTACCAAACTATTATGAGACTTTATTAATTTTTTTGAATAAAATATTATAATAAATCCAATGACAAACCTCTTCAAGGTGGGACATTAGTCTCCATAAATACTTTTGAGGTGAGAGAATTATCTTAAATTACTACGAAACTTTGGGGTAATTTTAGGATTAATTTTCAATATTAAATATTTTGATAAATTACAAATACATTTAAGGTGTGGATAATTTAGAATCAAACTGGTACCATCATTTGGATGGATATTATGAGGGTACTATAATTTTTTTCACGCGTAATCGTACTTTCGAACCTAAACTCTAATTTCATAAATCAATATCTACTATTTAAATATACCTAAATCAATTTTGAGACTCCTCTTTAAATAGGACAAGTTCAATCAGATGGTCAATCACACTTAAATAAAAAAGATTGATGGTAACTTCTCTAATCTATATCTAATAATAGATCTACAGATCTATACGTTATGATAATTATATGTTCGGTTCAATGGATTTTCTTATCCCAATGTTTGGTCCAATTTAAGTTAGATTTAAAACCCAATGATTAATTTATGATCCATTTTAAAACCCATTTGTGAAGCTAGAAACTTTGATAGCCCAAGTTTGTTTATTTAACTTAATTTAAAAAAAAAAAAAAGAGGCCAGAAGTCAATGACAGTGGGTGTCATGCCATAAGCCTCCACTAATGCCAAGCCATCGTACCCTACACCTCTTACCCTTACAGTGACCTTACCCTACACCTTCCATCATGACAACTAAAATTATGTCTTAATTTCTGAGATGAAGGGGAATCAACTTGTATAAAACTAGTTTACAAGGAAAAAAATCATTGGAAGGACTGAACTCTGCTAAAAATAGTCCTAATCCCCTACCAAGAAAAAAAAACCTCCATCAACAAAGCACTTATACATCTAAATGAAAAAACCCCTTATGACTAAACCTAAACCCCACAATCCAAAAAAATAATATTAACACAAAATCAACCACATTCGCTTTTGAGAAACCACAACAACCAAAAAAAAAAGCTTTCGATTTAGGTATTCTAAAATGTTTTAAAGGTAGAATTTTGGTTGAGGATGAGGGCTTAGGCTTAAGGAAAAGCATACTGAAAGTGGGTGGTGTTTGGCATGGTAGAGAGAGGGTGTTTTTATTTTGAAGCCATAGGATTCAAGGTTAGATCTACGACTTCAAGGCCATTTTCGGGCAAAACTAAGCAAAAAATGAGAAGAAAGATGAATAAATGAGCTTTATGATGAAATTTGAAGGCAAACTAGAACCTACAAACAGTGACCGACGGTAAGGCACAACGGGTCTACACTAAATTCTAAAAAAATGGGGTGCTCGGCCAATTGGTTTTTTTTTAAAGCATTTAAGGTTTTTTTTTTTTTTTGGGTCAGTTAGGTTTAAAATGGAATAAAAAAAACTTAGGCTTATATAGATTTAAAAAAAAAAATTAGGTAGACTCACACATGGACCCGACTAAGACCTAGAGTCCACACTCCCGACTCTGCTCCTTTTTTTCTGAAAACAAACCTTGAAACGGTCCAACCGAACCATTAGTGAACCAGTCAAACCATTGAACCGCTATTCTTATCATAGCAACTAAATTGATCAAGACCAAGTTAAATCGGCTTGGACTTTTCTGATAATTTTTTTTTATTTTAAATTATTTATTAATGCACATTTATGTTTTAAATATCTAGAATAAATATATATATTTTTAGAAATAAGAAAGTTGGTGTTTAAAAAATAGTAAATTAATAAAAAAATATAAAAATAATAAATAATAAAATGATAATAAGAATGAAAATCTTCAATGATGAGATATTAAGGACGTCCAACTAGTGAGTTTTAACATCTTTATGTAAGAATATTTTTTTAAAATACTACCAAAGTAATGAAGTATATAGAAAAAAAAATATTTGATATAAAAGTTTTCATAAAAAAATAAATTAATAAAATAATAAAACGATAAATAAAAAATGATTTTTTTAAAAAATATTTTTGCAATAATCAATATTTTTAAAAAATAAAAATGAGAGAAAAAAATTTTTTATCCGATGATGAGATTTTAAGGTATTCAAGTAGCGATGCTTATGAAATATTTAGGCGAAAAGATTTTTTTAAATACTATCAGCTTATTGAAGTATTTGTAAAAAAATTTTAATACAATAAAAATTTTCTTTTTCTTCTAAAAAATATCTAAGAAATATAAAAAAAATCAATAATTTTTTTAAAAAAAGGATAAATAAGACATACACACCAATATTTAATCATTTGCACGCCTGCATATCATCTAATTTTTTAAAAAATAGATACAAATCTTCGAAGATGGAATTTTAAAGAAATTCGAGTAATGATTTCTAATAAATCCTTAGATAATTTTTTTTTCAATGTTACTAACGTATTGAAATATTTTAAGAGTTTTTTCGATAATAAGATTCTAGATTATTTTTCTTAAACAAAATAGATTAATCTTTAAATAAAATAAAAAAGAAAATTTTTGTAAAAAAGAAAAAAGATAAAATAACAAAATTGGAAATGAAAATAAATTAATACAGGTAGTTAAGGTAATTATTTTAAAATACCAAAATTAAGATATTTTCATAAAAATTAAAAAATAACATATGATTAATTAGTACTATTTTTTAAAAGACGCTATGGGTTGTTAATTATTTCTCATGTGTAACTGACTTTCAAACTCAAATTGTTTTCATAAACCAAAAAATTATTTTTAATAAATTTTAATTAATTTTAAAATTTTATTAAAAAAATAAAGTTTTAATATATGACAAATCACACATAATTAAAAAAAAATTGATGATAACTCCATTTGGTTTTAAATTCATCTAGTGATCCTAAAGTCGTTATAATAATCTAAAAAGAGATTGACATGACCTAGTTTAGCTTAATTAATTAGTTATTGGTCCTTAAAAATGGAAATTAAGATTCAAAATCTAAATCTACCCTCTTCAATTAGATTTCTTCATGGCTATGTTTGGCACACAAAATTATGATAAGATAGGATAAAATAATATTATGAATAAGATTAAATTAAATAATATCATATTATATTATGTTTGACATGTGCAAGAATTAAGATAGGATAATTTATTTATTAGTCAAAATTATCTTTTCTCAAAATTTATATAATTTAAATTATTGATGTAATTTTTAAGGATATAATAGGACATATAAGTTTAATCTCATAGATGAAAAATAATTATCTCCACTTTGAAAAGAATGAATCATTTTATACTAAGAGGATGATAATCTTCCTTATAATCTTATCCTTTTCAATTATATACAAACTAAATATAATATAAAATGATTATCATACTACGTTATCCATCCTCTTATGCATTAAATATGACTTATATATACTATTTTTAGATTAATTTAAATAGTTTTATTTACATTAAAATTAATAAATTCATAAAAAATTATATTCTACAGTTTGTCAATAGATTTGAACTTAATAATTAAGAGAAAAGCAAATTTTTTTTAATCACTTGCACTAACATTCGTATGTACACTATAATTGAATATTTTTGTAAGTTACAAGAAGCTCAACTGAAGAACAAAATGATGTTTGACCTCACCTCCCATACCATTGTTTAAAACCCTAAAGGCGGTGGATCACCGAAGTTAAAAAAAAAGAGGGGGTGGTGGTTTGGCTAAAAACGTTGACCATAAACCAACCCCCATGTGACTTTTGTAACGTACGAAACTTCAAGGAATTAGTCTTTGACATTATGTAGGAACCGTGCGTTGCTGCTCAAAATCCCTCCCCCCTAACTTTTTCTTTTTTTTTTGTAAAGACCTCTCTCCCTATCTTTGTTCTTTGCCTATGACTTGTTATCTAAACGAGTTGAAATTGATTTTTTTCCTATATATTCTGTTTAATAATACTTATTAATACATATGGGAGAAAATAAATAATTACTATTATATTAACTGAATTTTTTTTTGTTGTTTAATGCAAGTGGATTGGGTTTTGTTGACATAGTATTTATTTGGGTGTGATGATTTATGAAAGCTATTGTTTGTTATTTATTTTGAAAGGGGAGTCAAATACAGCAGCCTCTCTATAAGAAAAGAGGAAACTTGGTGGGTTTCAGAGAATTATTACAAGAGAGAAAAAGAAGGCAAAAAAAAAGCTATATGGAGGAGAATTCGAAGAAGAGATCTGATCATGAAGGTGCAGTCATGAAGAAGGAGACAAGAGCTGGTTCTTCTGAGGATGCAAAAACTCCTGGTAGAAGAGAAGAGGTTGCTGCTAAGGTGCGAATTAGTTTCATGGCCTTTTATGTTTTAATGGCTGATGATATGATACCAGTTTCTTCATCTCATGATACCTTTTTCTTCCCAAGCTTTTTATGTTTTAATGGCTGATGATATGATACCAGTTTCTTCATCTCATGATGCCTTTTTCTTCCCAAGCTTTTCAGCTGCCCTTTTTTTATGCTATACACAAAAGTTTAAGTTTTATTCTCTTTATTGCATAACAGAGTGTGCTTTTTGTAGCATGTTATCCTCCTTTGAATAAACAAAAAAAAAATTTAACTTAGTAAAATTAAATTAAGTTTTATTTTCTTTATTAATTATTCCATGTTATTAATTTCAGGTGGGAGAAAAAAGATCTAGTCTTGAGAATGATGATACAAAGCCATCTTCACCTGGGAAAAATGATTTAAGCAGCAACAACAAGCTGGTAAATAAATTAACATGCTTCTATATACTAATTTTTTTTAGAAAAAAAAGGCATTTCATGGATAGTTTTCTATTCTGTAAATAACTTGTACTGAGAGTAAAGTATATAAAATTTTTAATCTAGTAATCCATATTAACTTACATGTTATCATCATAGATATATATATATATATATATATATTCTAAGGTAATTACATATATTATCAAAAAAATCAATATTTCTTTTTTAGTAAAAAGGACCGTAGGTATTAGAATTTGAGTTTCAAAAATTTACTAGATATTATTTTTTGAGAGTGATCATATGAATTATCTAGACTAATTGGGTTGAAAAAATCAATATTTCTACATTATCTAGAAGGATGAATATTTATGACCCTAGCTAGTTTACTATAGGACATCTTGCCAATCAACATCTGTATATATATTGGGATATGAAATCCATTAATTGTAGAAGAAAACGACCTGTTGGATTAATAGAGCAATGGTTCTGAAAGAGATAAGGGCAGTTGCCAAGTTGCGAACACGCAAGAATTGACAGGTATTTTTCCTGCAGACATAAACAATCAAGTATTTAAAATATGTCTGATATAAAAGTCATGCATGCCTTTGATTTGTAATAGTTTGACCATAATTACGTTCAGGAAACACGGTGTCTAGACTAGACTGTAGACTCTAGAAGTCATCAGCAATCCTTTCTTTTGTTAGCATTACTTTTCCTTTTTGCAGAATTTGATCAAGCTTTGGTACATCGCTATATATAAATGAACATATTAGTTGAATTCCTCTTTTCAATTCGGTATAGAAAGATTAGCTAGTTAGGTTAAAGGGTAGGCAAACTTAAGTTTTTGTGTTCTATATATGTGTTTCTTCATTTTAATAGTTAAAATTCATTCCTTTTCTGTTAACTCATGATTATGCTTAACTTAACAGGTATCCGTAAAAATTGATACTGAAAGATTCTCAACAGAACCTGACTCAATGGCATCTTCTTCAAGTCGAAGGGAGCAGGTTTGATTACTTTAGTCTAGTATATATTGTGATTTATATGACAATAATTATATTTAATCTTAACAAAGTTATTAAGTTTTCATTATTAATATTAGTCAACTATATCCATCTCAAATTAGATTATCACGTTAATTCAATCATATATTTCTTTTATATATTGTGATTTATATGACAACCCTAGTCACATTATTAATTCAATTAGATTATCACATTAAGTGCTAAATGTGATGTTAGCTTCCAGAAGATACATAGGGAGACTAATGGGCTGGCCGATGCTCTAGCCAAAGTATGGCTTTGCATCAAGAAATGATGGATTGATCTGGTTATATATTGAACACATGCATGCATGGAGTTGCAAACAAAAAAGGGAATAATTCTTGGGAAAGTTTAATGAAAAAATCAATTTTCACATGCATATGCAATGAAGAAGACTATATGGTTAAATCCCTTTTCCTTTGTATGTCATGGATATATATAGGATGATCAACTTGAATCTGCCAAAGCTGAGATGGGAGAGGTGATAGAAGAAAATCAAAGACTAAAGATGTACTTAAATCAGATACTGAAGGCTTATCAGAACCTACAAATGCAATTCCATGACATTGTTCGACAAGATGCAGAGACAACAAATAATGACGACCAAGAAGTTGAAGAACCTGAGCTTGTTTCTCTAACCCTGGGAAGATTTTCAAGTGATTCAGAAAAGGATGATAAGAACAAAACATCTGGCCAAGGAAAAGAGGAGGAGAGAGGCAAAGAAGGTTTATCTCTTGGCCTAAATTACAAATTTGAAGTTTCTAAGTCAGGGGCAGATGATGAACCTTTGCCAAATCCAAGCCCAGAAAACAGTTCTCAAGAACCGAAGGAAGAGGAGAAATGGCCAGCTAGCAAGGTTCACAAGACAATGATAAGCGGAGATGATGAAGTTTTGCAACAAAACCCTGTCAAGAAAGCTAGGGTTTGCGTGAGAGCTAGATGTGATACTCCTACGGTTGGTATTACTCATTTACATTCATAATTAAGTTCTTTTTTTACTGATATTCTAAATTTGTTTGATTGGTATTCTAAAAAAATTCTGTTTGATAAAAAAAGTTCTTTGTTGCAATTTGTGTTTTGCTTTTCAAAAAAAAAAAAAAACAGAAAGCAAAAGGCAAAAGGAAAAATAAATAAAAAACGAAAGATTATTTGTTGTTTTCCATCTCTTTACTTACTCAGGGTGTGGCCTAGTGCAAGGGCGAATTTGAAAGTGCACTGCATTAGTGCATGCTTAGAGTTCAATACCTGTTATAAAAACCCCTGATTTAAGTGTGGGGCTCAGGGCGGTGGGATGCTTTGCTAGTTTTTCACAGTTGGCAATAAAGGATGAGTCCAAAAGTCCTGCCTTTCCCAAGCCCCCATCTTATAAAAAAACAAAAGGCAAATAGCAACAATATCAATCAAATGGAGCATATATAAGTTAATGGATATCATAAAACTTTGTTAGAGCATAAGTTGAGAACTAGGGTTTTAGCCTTGTTAGTGCATTCTTTTGCAGTTCATTCTAATAATGAAGATGTATCGTTTATTTTTTAGCACCAAATTAGTAAAAACTAAAATGACTTATCATTTGTACAGATGAATGATGGATGCCAATGGCGGAAATATGGACAGAAGATTTCTAAAGGAAATCCTTGCCCTCGAGCATATTATCGTTGCACTGTTGCACCTTCATGCCCAGTGAAAAAACAGGTATATTCAACTAAGTGATCAAACAAAACCTTACAGCTATGCTTTTAGCCATTAATGGCTATTTAATTAAACTATTTTCCTCTCTACATCATTAACATGTTAATTTGCTTGAAATTTCAGGTGCAAAGATGTGTTGAGGACATGTCGATCTTAATCATAACCTACGAAGGAACACACAATCATCCACTTCCGATGTCAGCCACAGCAATGGCTTCCACCACTTCCGCAGCTGCATCAATGCTACTGTCTGGTTTATCATCGATCTCGCAGCCTGGCTCCAATATTCCATCAACGGCCAACACCATCCCTGCTAATCTCCATGGAATCAACTTTTATCTATCTGATAACTCAAAATCAAAGTTCTACTTGCCCAGCTCTTCGCTATCGGCTGCCTCATCACACCCAACAATCACTCTTGATCTTACCGCAACATCATCCTCATGCTTATCACTTCCTTTCAATAGGTCTTCTTCAGCTTATCCCACAACCGGAAGATATCCTCCTACAAGTCTCAGCTTTGGTTCTTCAGAATCCAACACCGTATCTTGGGGCAATGGGCTCCTTCAGCCCTACATGAAAAACCAAATCGGAGCTCTGAACATTGGAAGACCACAGACCCTTGAGAATAGCATTTATCAATCCTTCATGCAAAAGAATAATCTAAATCCTCCTCAACAGCCTCTACCGGATGGTATTGCTGCTGCAACCAAAGCAATCACAGCGGACCCCAATTTCCAATCTGCTTTAGCAGCGGCTCTCACATCAATCTTTGCGACAAGCAATAACGGTGGTGCAACTCAGCCTGCTGGAGTGCATTTGGCACAAAAGTTGAAGTGCGGGGAGCAGCCATTTCCAGTACTGACTCCTAGTTACTCACAAACAGTAAAAGGGGATGGCTGTGCCTCCAGCTTCTTGAACAAATCTCCTACGACTACTTCACAGACAGGGAGTTTGATGTTTCTACCACCTTCTTTGCCATTTTCAACTCCCAAGAGTGCATCCGCATCACCTGGTGATGCTAGAAATCACAGCAATTGATTGGTTTTTTATTTTTGAATATTTGTAATTAAGGAGGTTGTTCATTAGTCCTAGTTGGCATGCAATAGTTAATGTGTAGTTTAAAGAAATTTTCCTCTTAGAGACAAGGACGGGAAGCATGGAAATTTGAACAAGTTTGGTTTTTAATTTCCGCAAATTTATTTGGTCCTGCTGATTATCCAGCTAGCTGGTGAAGGAAAGCGGCATCGATCGACTAAGACTAAGTCATAAGCTCTCACAAATTTAATATTTTTTCTTCAACTTGATGTTTGGCTCAATAGTGGTTAAGGTTGATGGTTCAATGGTGGAAAATTCAAGTGAATTAGCATTTAGCAACTGATGGCATTCGCCGTGATAGTAATGGACAATGAGTGTTTGGTTCTGCTACGAGGTTGGACATGATTGTATCAAATTAAAGCTGAACTTAATGCAATTTTGACTTAGTCTTCAACTTGCATAAAACATGAATATCGTATAAGATATCTTGATGGAGTCTAACTCGACATAGGCAATTGAAAAGGTTCCATGGATTTATAATTGATATACGGTTATATTATTAAAAAATTTTCACCATAGAAAATAATATTTTTACACTTATAGAGATATCTAATCAAAATAAATTAAATATAAGAAAATTAATTAAGAAATATATAACATTTTTCTAAGTTTTTTTTTTTTTTTTTATCTCTTTTTCCCTCTTTCATATCATTTTATTTTGTAACTAATTTATTACCCGTGCAATGCACGGATTATCTTACTTTATTAATTTACTTTTAATTATTCAATCAATTATTTTTCAATCAAAATTAAAATTTTTTAAGGAGATTTAATTTGTGATGTAGTAAGCTAAAAACTACATATAATTTAATCTAGTTATTTGTTATCTATTTAATATAGTAATAATAAATAATTATTGTGTGTAAAAAATTTTATTTTCATGATGACACGTAAGATCATTTTTAATTTTATGTTATTTATCAAATAAATATCTTTTAAAATTTATTAATTATTCAAAATTTTAAAATTTAAAAGAAAGACAAAATCATATATATCTAATTATTTATGCTTGAAATTAATTTATAGTTAAAACACAATGGAAAAAATCCTATAAATTATGGTTAATTATAAGGTTTTTTTAAAAATTCACAAATTATTTTTTTAATTTCAATTTTTTTCTTACCAAATAATCTCATATACTTTAAATATGATAATATTATTTATCATATAAAAATATATAATTTTATATCAAAATCTTAGAAAGTTAGTTAAATAAATTTAATTTAATTTAACTAATTAAAAAAATTAAGAAAATACATATTTTAAATTCATATTCATATTTGATTAATGAATATTTTTCAAAATTCAAGCAAAGGAAATTAAAAAAAAAAAAAAACACAAATGAACTATAATTGAATATAATTTTTTAACTTTATTAGGAAGTAAACATGTTTGTTAATTGGATTATGGGTCGGATTTATGATTTCATGCATAAGTTTTTAAGTATGGATTCAAAATATTGTTATATTAAAAAATTATTAATTTTAAATTTTAAATATATTTAATATTATAAAATTTTAACATTTTAATAATAAATATAAATTGAATAGGTGATTTGAGTCAAATTTGAAACAAAATCTAAAATATAGAAATGTTTACAACTGAATGCCACCAAATTCATGGGCACTTCTTAATTTTTTAAATTCATATATTTTTTAAAATTATGTTTAATAAAACATCAAGTGCTTATTAAATGAAATTTGATTTGAAAAAATGAAAAAGAATGAAATCAAATTGGATTTCAATTTATCCTAACTTTTTTATAAATAAAAAGAGTGTTATGACTTTGAAGAGGAAGAAGTATAGCAAATTACAAACTTCTATACAAAATCTTAATTGATGCACTAATTATATTACATACATACAATATGATTTCAAATTCAATTACTTCTTGTTATTTGTAACAAATATTTTGATATAAATAGTAGGTTCAAATCAATATAATCAAGCAGACTATTAATGAAATTGTTTTTGCATATTGTAAGAAAGCTAAATTAAGAGAAAAAAATTATATAATTGAGTGAAGCGTCAAATATAAAGAAAAAAAATTATAGATAGTACCTACAAAATAAAGGAAAAATATTTTCTATAACTTTGCACCATGTAATATATGAAAAAAAAAAAAAGTCAATTGAAAGAAAAAATTTTACCTAAATAAGTGAAGAGTCAGAAGTAAGAAGAAAAGATTTGTAGACAACACTTACAAAATATAAAAATCTGTGTATATGTAACTTTACCTTTTGTAATATATATAAAAAAAAAAAAAGAGTCAAAGTTAAAGACTATGTTCTTACTATAAGTATCTAAAAAAAGAAAATTAATGCTTTTATAACTTTCACTTTTTAATATTAAAAGAAAATGAGGTAACAAAAAAATGTAGAACAATGACAAAAAAAAATCAAATTGATGTTAAAGAATGATATTAAACAATCATTTATAAATTATTAAGAGATTAAATTTGATTCTTTTAAATAATAAAATATTATCATGAAATCTATTAAGTTAAAATTATATTTGATATTTTTAAAAATTAGGATATGTATAAAAAGTTATTTTAAAAAATAAAAAATATATATTATTGTCCTGATTAAAAATGATAGGTGAAGTTTTTTTTTTTTATTTCATGGGCAAACTTTACAATTATTAATATTATAAATTTAATTGCAAAGGTAACAAAAATATAGGCATTCCAAAATATAACATTGATTACAGATTAAGAACAATTGTGCTTTTCCACTCGCTATTTGACCATTTAAGATTAATCCCATGTCTAGATCCATACATATAACTAATTATTAGAAAATTAAATTTTAAAAATAAAAAAATGTATTTAAAGGTATATTTGACAAATAAAGATGATTTTTTTTAGTAAAAAGAAAAACTTTGGATAATTTAAAATTTTCAAATTAATATATCTTAAAAAGATTTGGATAACCAATAATTTTTTAAATAAATTTATTTAATCCATTAATAAAAAATAAGAATTAATTTTACTTATTTATATAAAATCTTACCAAAATAAATAATAATAATTTTATCCCTTTAATTATTTTAAATCTAAATTGGTTTTTCATTTAAATTTTAAAAGTTTTGGGTAATTAAATAAAATTTGAAATTTATTTTTGGATAAAAGGTCTAAAATTAAAAAATATCTTATATATCATTTTATAAAGAGATTTTAATAATTTTCTTACGTGTCAAAAAGAAAAATATTTGCAAAAACATCTACATTAGCAAATCTTATCTGATAACCATACATTCCAAAATATAACGCTAATTACAAATCAATAACAATTATGCTTTTCACTCGCTATTTTGACCATTTAAGACTAATCCCATATCCAGACCTATACATATAACTAATTATTAAAAAATTAAATTTTAAAATAAAAAGATATATTTAAAGGTGTATTTGACAAATAAATATGATTTTTTTAGTAAAAAGAAAAACTTTGGATAATTTAAAATTTTCAAATAAATATATCTTAAAAAGATTTGGATAACCAATAATTTTTTAAATAAATTTATTTAATCCATAAATAAAAAATAAGAATTAATTTTACTTATTTAAATAAAATCTTACCAAAATAAAAAGTAATAATTTTATCCCTTTAATTATTTTAAATGTAAATTGGTTTTTCATTAAATTTTAGAAGTTTTAGATAATTAAATAAATTTTGAAATTTATTTTTTGATAAAGAGTCTAAAATTAAAAAATTTCATATATATATATATATCATTATAAAGAGAAATTTTAGCAATTTTTTTATGTGTCAAAAAAAATTATCTACCTAAGCATCCACATCAATAAATCTACTTTTTAGTATTTTTCTATTTACTTTTTCCTCATTCTTTCCTTTTAAATATCTATAATTTTTTAATATTTTAACTTTTTTATATGGAGTTCATTTAATATTATTGATTAATTTTTTTAATTTGATAAATTTTAAGAAAAGAATATTAGAGAAAACCAATATTACTAATGTTATATGACAACCCGGTTTTCTTTTTTTTTTTTTTTTTTTGCTTTTTCTTCTTTTATTTTTAAAATTTTAAATTATTTTCTTCCTTTATTTTTAATAGATAATTTTATTGAAAAAAAAAACATATATGTTCACGTGACATTCAATTTTGTTTTTTTTTTTTTCATTTTAAAAATTTTTAATCATATAATTTACAACAAAAAAATTGATAAATAAATTTTTTAAGAAAAATATTAATGTAAGTATATATAACAAAATAACTTATATCCGATAAATTTCGATTCGTCTGAATTCAATAGATGCTTTTTTTTGTTTGAGATCTAATCAAGATTTTTTTTTCAAAAAAATAGGTCAAGCTAGAAATGGATTTATAGCATTTCGTCTTGCTTTAATTATATATATTAAATTATATTGTAAATTATTTATTTAATTTTATTTATATATATATGTATTATATTAATAAAAATATTATTTAATATCTTAATTTAATAAAAATATTATATTTATATATAATTAAAATATAATCCATCAATCCATCTATTTATTATATAAATTTGACTTATTTTTAATGTTATTTGACCCTTATTTAAGGTCTATGTGCTATCTATTTTTTTTTTTAATTTAGACAAAATTTTGTGAAAAAAAGAAACTTATGTAGGTGTATACGTTATACCCCAATTTGATTTTTTTCTTTCATTTTATCAATTAAATAAATTTTTGCAACAAAAAGAGTCAATGGATATGAATGTCAAAACAAATCGTACTTTTCTTCCTTTTTAAAAAATTTTTATTTTTATTTTTCTCTTTTTGTTATTTTCTTGTTTCTTTTTTTTTATTTTTTGGTCTATTTCATTAAAGTAATTTTGTGAAAAAATCTAATGGACCTCGAAGTGGCACCCAATTTGATTTTTTTCCTTTTCCTTTTTGGATTTTTTAATTAAATAAAATTAGCACAAAACATGTTAATTGTTAGAGATGTAAAAACAATATGTGCTCAATGAATTTCGATTTATTTTGATATATTATGAGACAGATCTTTTAAAATCATGAATGACTTGAGAGGGATTGAGTTTTTTCAAACAGAATGAGTCGGATTGTAAGCATATTTAAGGCATTTTGGTCTTTACACATTTTGAAATGTATAAATTATTTATTTATTTATTTATTCATATTATATTATTAAAGTTATTTTTACCTTAATTTAATAAATTAATATTTTAATCTCAATATAAGTGAAATGTGGCACCCTTTGTGCACACTTTTTTTTTTTTTACTTTTCATTTTTTTAAAATTTTTTTATTTTCTACTTTTTCATTTTTTTTTTATTTTGATTTTGGTATTTATCTTTTTATTGAATAAATTTTATGAAAAAAGAAGACCAATTAAGGTATTCACAGGTCATTCTCATTTATTTTTTACCTTTCATCTTTTTTATTTTTTTAATTAAATAAATTTTAAAAAAATTAAGATGAATAAAGATGGTAAAACAGAAAAAATTGATCCGTAATAATGCATGTACATTTTTCTAATTAAATAATAAAAAAAGTTTGAAGATAAAAATTATAATAAAAATAAAATTTTGAATTGGATAATAAAGATAATTACTTTTTAAAATCCTATAAATAGAATTTTTAAAAAATTACAATTTTTAAAAAATATTTTTAATAGGTGAAAGTAATTTTGGATCACAAAAAAAGTGTTGTAAAGGGTTTTAAAAATTATTTTCACGAATTGATTATAAACAATTATAACAGTACAAAATAAAAAATTCATCAATAATTAAAATTTTGAAAAATTCACAGAGTTTATACTAAATATTATTAACAAATATATAAATATTAATTATTCAAAATAAAAAAATGTTTACAACTTCATCACCTATTAAAAAAAGAAACTTTCTCTCAAAATTTTTTTTTAACAGTATAAGATTATTATATATTAATAAAAAATGAATTAAAAATTATATTCAATAAGATAAGACAGATATCGATATTGTATTTTATTATTATTCTTTGATAGTTGTCAAAGATCAAATTTTGGTTATTTAAATTTAATTTTTAATATTTTATTAACTGATTACATAATCAATGACAATAAAAAAAAAATTTCTACAGTAAAATAATATTAATATAGTAAAGTAATAGTTTTCATTATAGAAATTAAAATGTTGGCAAAAAAATTATTCATGCTTTAAGGCTCTTAATAACATTTACAGTACATATATGACTCCGTAACTTGAAAATACACGTAAACGTATAAATACAAATATAGATAGAAAGAAAAGAGTGAGCATCAGTAGGGGTATAAATGATACATTAATATTCGTAAATTATTCGAATTCGATTTGAAAAAAATTTGAATTCGGTTTGATTATTATCGAGTCGAGCTCGATCGATAAGTCGAGTAACTCGATTTATCGATCGAGCTGAGTTCGAATATTTTTATATCCAGCTCAAGTAGCTCGTGAGCTTAATAAAACTTTTATATTTAAATTTTTTTTATTATTTTAATTAATAAAATATCTCGAATTCAAATTCGAGTTCGAGCTCGAATACAAACAATCACACTCTTGTCGAATATAAGAATCGAACTTATTTTAATATATTAATCGAGCTTAATCGAACGAATTCGAGTAGCTCGATTTCGATCACGAATCGAACTCGACCTAAAAAAATGAAACTCGATCGAGTTCGAGCCAAATATCGAATTTCGAGTTGAGAGCTGAGCTTTAACTCGAGCTTTTCACTGTATCGATTCGACTCGACTCAATTACATTTTTGTGCATGAGCGAAGATTAGACTTATCAAAAATAAAGATGGTAGTATATTGAATTTGGTTTAATTTTTTTAATAATATATAATATTATAAATTTTTAAAATTTATTCAAATTCAAATTATATTTTATTTATTCTATTAATTGATTTTTATTTTATATTATTTAATATAGTTTTTAATAAAAATATATTAAAATTAATAAAATATATAATTTGATTAGATTTGGATATTTTTAATTATTTTCTTATTAATAAATTTAAACTGAATTTAATAAAAATATTTTATATATGAATTTTAATTCGAGAAAAAAAAAAAAAAGCCATCCAAACCGAAGTAAAAAATTTCTAACCGAGTTTTGATTTTTATTTTTCTCACCCTTTACCAGAAGCAGCCAAAATAACCCAAATAAACTCCATTTTTAATTTCCTTTTCTGCAGATTCCTTCTCTCTTTCTCCTCTTTCCTTTTGCCCTTTCCATTTTTTCCCATTCTATTTTTTTCTCCATCTTTGTATATAAATTTAGTCGATCAATTACAGCTTCAATTGAAAACCTAACTCCCTATATTTTTCTGTTTGCTTATCTTCTCGTTTAACATTAATCTCCAGGTAAAATTTTCTTTGTTGTTGTAAAGGATTTTTATGAACTTTCCATTAGTTGTTATTTCAGTAGATCCAGGTGTAACATAGAGGAAAAGATCTGAACTTTATGTTTGTTGCGGTGGAAAAGTTCTAAGCTTTGGGGATTATTTGTTTGGATGTAAACCATGAATTTCTTGCTTCTGGTTTTGATGAAATTTTTAGTATTAGATTGAATTGAGAAAAGGGTTTCTTTATTTTAAGCTGAAAACTTGAAATTTAAAGAAAATTATCAAGATGCTCTATATCTTAGATGAAAAAGTTTGCTCCCTTAGCTTCAATTAGAAGTTGAATTAGCTAAGAAATGAAAGAAGAGCGAGCTCTTTTTTGTATTATTGTTAATTTAACAGTTTTATTTGTTTCCACATAAGTTTCAATGGTTGTTATCAAATAAGAATAAAAAGAGCAATCAGTTGGGTAGTGAAAGCTCATTGCTTGATTTTTTTCCTTTTTCTTTTTTGGTTGTAAGTGGTGACAATGTCAACTCCTGCAAGGAAGAGGCTAATGAGAGACTTTAAGAGGTTGCAACAAGACCCACCTGCGGGTATCAGTGGAGCACCTCAAGACAACAATATAATGCTTTGGAATGCTGTTATATTCGGGTAAGTTTGGAGCAAAAGGGACCTTTTTCTTTTTTTTAAAGTTTTCTTAGGATATTTATGTTTCTCCTTTCTATTTATCAGTATATTAAGTATGGTTCGATAAGCTATTCTGGTTTCTTGTCTGATTTTAATTGCAGTCCAGATGATACTCCATGGGATGGAGGTGAGTAACCCTTGTGCCGAAACTCTTACTTAAAGAGGATGTTCTGTTTTTTCTTACCTCTTAATTGCTTCAGATGGATGTGTATACAGGAGGATCTCATGTTGTTTGCTACACATCCTTTGGATGACTTAATTTTGGGTTTTTTTCCTTCATCGACATGATACATGGGTTTCAATAACCATTTCTATCTCCATTTTCCATTATGACATTATGGCATATTCTTAATTCTTATTACAGAAATGGATTCCTAATGCAAAATAATGTAGTTTTATTTTGTGGGCTGTGGTTGTTTCCCCTTTATGCTCTTGCTTGGAACCGCTGTGAGACAATGGTATGTGTCCAACAGTAATAGGGTCCACTTTGAGGAGTCTAATATGTTTCTTGACATGGGTAGTATAGGAAAAACGAAGAATGGAGCAACATAGCAACTTTCTATGTAATGGTTCTGATATTTCTTTTACTTTCTTCTTCTTTGTGCTTCCTAAGTGTAAGCCTTCAAACCATTAGCAGTAATGAATCTATGCCATTGCCATAGCTTTCTAATGCATGCTTCATTGAGACCAATCAGCTATTTTAAGCATATATTGTGGTCTAGATGGCATAATGGTGGTTAATGTTACCAATGCTAGTGGTGAACTGCTGCGTCATTATTAAAATGGATAAAGGTTTGTTTATTGCAAGTTTTTATGTATGTTTTATTCAAAAAACACATAGTATCATTCTTTTTCTGGTACCCTGTATCTTTTTCAAACTAAAAGCAACAATGTACTGATGAATGTACGGATATGGGACATGTGTTCATGTTTACTTTTTTATTTGGAATGCTGTTTCTGCCATGTCTATAAGTGTGCTTGTGAGGAGGCATTCTTTGTCACTAGTCTTGATATGAAATAGGAGGCAGTAGTTTGATAAGGAAAAATGCATAATTTTTGCTGAAAAATTATTTCTTTGTAAATTTTACATTCACTGTCTTCCATTGAGGTGAAAATAAGGGATCAGATGAGAGCTTTAACAATTGGAGGTGGTTATTGGGAAGACGGAAGGTGATTAGTTTTTTCTCTGTTAATTTACATCTGGAGGCCTTTCCCTTTAGGAGTAAGTATGATAACTTCAAAATTCTAGTTGGAGAAGGCTGGGAACTTGTTTGTTTGTACCTGATCATAAACCATATACCTGTTGCGCTCTATTGTTGAGTGATATGGCATGCTCAGAAGAGCTTCAAATAGAAAAAGGATTGGTGTGTTGCATCTTAAGTGTTTAATCATGCTTATGTAACTTTTACATTCGTTGGACCTATGTGAAATAACATATCTTTTTGAGTTCTTCAGGTACATTCAAGTTGACTCTTCAATTCACTGAGGATTATCCAAACAAACCTCCAACAGTGAGATTTGTTTCCCGAATGTTTCATCCAAATAGTAAGTTCTAGTTGGAACTACTGTAACAATAGTCTTCTGTAGCAGTCGGAATTATTCCATCCATGATTTCTGACTTAAATCTTTTGAACTGTTTCAGTTTATGCCGATGGAAGTATTTGTTTGGACATTTTACAGAACCAATGGAGTCCTATATATGATGTAGCAGCTATTCTCACATCCATCCAGGTATAGTGGAAAACTTATTTGCAGTATGGATATAATCGTTATTTGTCTATTATTATGAGACCATTAACGGAAGAATTATTACTGCATAGACCATCTATAAAATGAAAAACTGCTTTGAAGCATGAGCCTGCCTCTTTGCTATACTCCTATTTTAGATAAGATGAAGAAATTTTCATGAAATTCGTTTACAAAGCTATATGTTTTTACTTTTCAGATGAGAAAATATTTGGAGAATTAAGAATCAATTCATCTCTAATGATCCACGAAATTACTGCATCTGTTTAGAAACAGACTTTAAAACCCTGTTCATTTTAATTGTAAATAATTAGTTTTCTTCTTTGATTAAAATTTTCTATTGTTTCTCTTACTGGAAAAAAAGGCTTTTAATTATCGAAAGAATGATAATTAACCACTCATAATGTATCATAACTATGTATTAGCTTAATATTAATATTTTGTATTAAACCAATGAAAAAGTCACATTTGTGGTTGAAAAAGATGTGCCATATGAAACATGTATGAAATTTGTTTCAGCAAGCACCTCAATACCATGGCCCCCAAATGCCTCATCAATTGCAACTATATTTTCAGCTTTACTCCAGTTTCTGCACTCAATTCAAACTTGTCCTGTCTTGAGAGTTTGAATTCTAACTCTTTAGGATTCAGCAATAGTATGCACCACATAGTTTTTTCTTTCCCTTTTTCCCCCAACAAATTTTTTCCTTTGGCCAAGATTATTTTTAGTTTAGTAGATGTCTTTTTTTTTTCATTGGTACAAACATAAGCTTAGAACAAAACAATGCTTCTTTAATTTTTCATTTCGACATTTAAATGGGTGACTTAAGTTGTGTTTGTGTATTTGTGTGATTACATGATGATTTTAACTATCATTCTGTTGTTGCAGTCATTGCTCTGTGACCCCAATCCAAACTCACCTGCAAACTCAGAAGCGGCTAGGATGTTTAGTGAGAACAAGCGCGAATATAACCGAAGAGTAAGGGAGATTGTGGAACAGAGTTGGACAGCGGACTAGCTCCATGTTACGGTGGGACAGTGGGTTTTAAGGTTTGATGTAATGGTAACATTGATTCTCAGTGTTACTGTCAGGATTCATCAACTGTATCCTCTGCACCCGCGCATGTTCCCTTTAGAAATGGATGTTAGGGCTATTTGATCTACCTCGTACTAAGACATTTTGCTTTCTGTGTCTTAAGCTTGTGTAAAGTAACATTACATGTATCCATTTCCATTGAACCATTATGAACTTTTTGCTTCAATATAAATCTCTGGTTGATTCGTCGTAAACAAAATGTTCAATTATTTTTCATCTTTATGTGGAAGAGAAGAGCGATGCTTGGGCAAGCTACTGATCATCGTAGGTGCTAGCTGCAGACTGCTTCCCATATATTTTTTTGGGGGGTTGTATTCATACTCTTTTTTTTTTCAATTTTCATTTTGTAAATAAAATTATTTAATTACATTTTCTTACAAAATTTAGGATATGTAAAGGGAGAATTAAATTTTAAAAAAATTACCAGAAAATATTTTTTTAAAAGTTTTAGTAATTAGTGTAATAAAAAAATTAATATTAAAAAAATCATAAAATTTAAAATTAATAAAGTGAAAATTAATTTTACTATTTTGATGTTAGAAAAAGAATAAAATTTTATGAGATTTTAATTAAATATTTCATCTTTTGATATTATGAATGCTAATAAAGAAATTATAAAGTCTAATCAACATACAAAAGTTGAAATTCTTTAAAATTATATAAATAATATTACTGAATATTATATAATTTTATCAAAATTTAATGCTAATCGGTGAAACCAATTGTGATAAATAAATTAAGAGACATCTCAAAAGAATTTAGTTTAGTTAGAGTTATTATAAAATTTTTATAATTATATAAGATCATATATTTATTGAAAAAATGATAAATTTTAAATTTATAAAAAAAATTAAATTTACTATTTAATCCTTTATTTAATTAGGATTTTATAAGATTTTAAATTTTTAAAGATGAAAATAATAAAATTAATTTTTTTATTAATTTTTAAATTTATAATTTTTTAATAATAACTTTTCATTATACTCATTAGTAAAACTTTTTAATAAAATTCTTCTTTTTGCAGTTTTTTTAAAAAATTTCACATTATCTTTCAAGGAAGTGAATTTTCTAAAAATTTTATAACTTTTCAAAAATTTATTTTTGATAAATTAAATAATATTTCAAAAATAAATTTTCAAAAAATTATAAAATTTATTTTTATATTTTGAAAACTTGTAAAAAAATTAAATAATTTTATTTATATATATATATTTTTTTAAAGTAAAGGATGTAAAGAGAAAATACGGAGTGTAAATAGAAACCTCTTTTATTTTCCTTTTTTTTTTTTTTTTTAGTCACGGGGAAAATGTACGAGAGCTGCACATTCCATTTTTCGCAGCCATGGTCAATGAGTGTATGGGAGGTAAAGCACTTATTGCTACAGGCTTTCCTGGAACAAGGATACGACGTAGTCTCACTCTCTAAAGAAAAATATAAACAAGACATATGACCGTGGAAAGAACAAGCAACTGGAACAAGACAGGTTCAAAGAAAAGACAAGAAAGAATAAAAGAAAACCAGAGTGAAGAGGCAATGGTGTTAAACAGCTCGGTGGTGGTGACAATAGCCAACGTGTCAGCAAACGTATGCCAATACCTAGCCTGTAACCCAGAGCGCTTAAGCAGCGATCAAGTCTTGCATCTTCTCTTCTGCTTTCCTCTCCATCATCTTCGCCGCTTTGCTGACTCTTTGTGGCTCTATCTATGCTTTAATCCCCCCCATCATCCTCTCTCTGACTCTGATTTCAGCGACGACGATAGCTCTCACTCTGACTGAAATTTCTGGCTATTTTCGAAGATACCCACTTCGATTCTCATGTTGTTTTCTATGTATTTCTCTTTGTCCGATATATTTTATAAAATTTTAGGGATACCCAATTCTTTTTTCTGGTTGTTGTTTTCTTATGTTATCACTTTTGGGTATTCCTAATTTCTTGGAAATTTTTGGGGTGAATTTGTACTAAAAGGAAAATCTCTGATGCATATACGTTGATGGGTTTGTTACGTCTTCTTTGTTTGTCTACAAGGTTGGATTTTTTAGCTTAATTGGTTTGACTTTTATCTTCTGTCTGCTCTTGGTCCTCTTGTAACTTGGATGGATACTTGGCTATGGATCATGAAATTAATTCTGACGTGCCTTGAATGAATTCAGCTCACAGTTTTATGATCTGGTGTAAAAAGATTCAAATTAGAACAAGCTCTGTTAATCATATATTTGAATAGGTAATAACATTAATAAAACAACAAATAAATTGAATGATTTGATACAATTTGCATCTCAAGTGATTGTATAATACCAGACACAAACAATCCTAGTTTCAAGCAGCAACCCAAGAAAAAACAGAAGGTCTTGACTTCACACCAGATTGGAACACTTCACTTTAACCCATATACAAGCAACCCAATATACACAACGAAGAGCCCAATAGAGGATGGAATTAATTTGGTTCACAGCATACTTAGTGCAGAACACCGCCTCCACCAATCAAGCAGGCTGATTTATTCTGTCAAAGGCACATCCTGTGAAAGAAGATGGCGAAAATTTTTAATTGATTATGTCAATTAATATCAACTTTATCAATAAATAGTCAGTTGCGTGTGAAGGTAGGCATAATCACTGCCCTACCAAAGTAGTTTTGTTTTTTTGGTTGCAAAGGAGGCTAGTGCCTTAGAAGGGGAAGAGGAATGGCAGGTATAACTCACGTCTTATATGACTTTCAATTGACCTCTTAACCACTAACCTAAAGAGGGAAAAGTTTACCAAAGTTGTTCAAACCTTGGAAATTTGGGGCTATAACATTAAACAACATTAAGGACTGTAGGGCAATATAAGTAGCTGATAGAGTTAAGAACTTTTACCATATTTTTTTTGTCCTCTTCAGCAGTCACTCCTGCAGCTGAAGGACTAACTTGACCTGTAAAGAAAACATTATAAATGCATGTCATGCACCCAAAGGTACAGATGCTGAACGTAAAATTTATCTACAAACTTACCTTCTTGATTAGGTAATTTGGTTGCCGGACTCTTAGTCTTGTCCTTTCCTTTAACAGGCTCTGACTTGGTTCTCTTCTGTAACTTACGGCATCCGATGTCTGAAGCAGACCTTGAATTTGAACTGTTCTTGTTCAAAACCTTATTCCTAGTTGCAGGATTATTCTTTGGAGTGGCCTCTTTTGCTGATTTGGCCACGGATGATACTTGAGCAGCATCATTATTCAGGGACTTGGGTTTCACTTTCCTCGATCCCTCTGCAGAAGAAACGCTGTGAACCTCATCATCAGATGACCGAGTCCCCTCCTCGGGCACCAGAGAACAGGTTTCAGACACCTGTGGCTGATCTGAATTTGCTGAAACATTGTAGATTTCAAGTAGTTCCTTTATAGCTTCCCCACTTTCACCAAGATTATGGCGACGTACATATGATTTTAGCTCATCATGCATTTTCTGAAAGGGCTGGGTTTGAAGTTATAATGAGTTAGAAATCAATGCAAAGAACTTGTATCTCAGAATAGGCAAAAATAAACAATAAATCCAATATACTAAACTGCATAAAACACCATGATTATATATTTATATGTGTCACCAGAGAATAGCACACCTCACATCCCGCTTCAAAGGCCAGTTTGAAAAACCCAATTGAGACTGAATGCTTAGATGCTGATTCAGAGAGCTTAATCTGCGACAGCCAGTATGGAGCTGATGACAGAACATTGAACCTCCCTCGAGTTGCCGACCTAGAAGCATCAGAAAGAGGTGTGTCACTTTTGCCCTGACCATTTGTAGATTTCTTGGCTCTAGCCTCAGATATAGGATTGATTATCCCGACGAATTTCGGAGATGGAGTCACAGTTGATTTGGTCGGAATAGAGAGCCTTCTGGGTGGCTTGGCTGATTTCACTCTCTTGCTAACACTTGGTGTTGCCCTCCCCCTAAGAAGAACAAACAAATAAAACCCAAACTCATTTAACACTTAAAAGGTAAATGCCAACACGACAGCAACAAGGAAATTATTAACTAATTTGGATCTGTCAATTCATGTATACGTGTTTATTTTGTGTATTACGTGTATATTTATTTGTCTATTTCATATTTAATAAATGTAAAACATTAAAATTATTATATTATATTTTACATTGATACATCAAATACAAAATATATTTGTTTTATTAAAATTTTAAATCGTATAATTTTTAATGTCTTTGTTATAAAATTGATAAGTCTAAACTTAACTACACAACCACGTAACATTGTGCCAGTAAATGATAAAAATGGAGAGGATTTTGGAAAGATGGATGATTAACTTAAATCTATTTTATTTCCTTGTGGAAAAAAATCACGACAAATTTTATTTCTTGATTTCACCAAACTCTTTCAGTGATTACACACCTACCCATTTTCTGCATATAGAATTTTGACATTAGTATAATATTTAATATGTCATAGTAAATCTGAAAGAATACATTAAATTTTACAGAGACAAAAACTGCCTGCAAATTATAGAATTTGAATACCTTGTGGATGAAGAAGAATTGGATAAATCACGCGTCGTTGGCTTCTCCTCCTTTGATTTCGTTGACGATCGAAGTGGATAACGTAGCTTCGAATTCTCTGCACTCCCTGAAAACATTTCAGAATAAAAATTAAAACGAAAAAGAAACCACCTTTAAAAGCCAAGGGAAACAGAGAGAAATTGAGGCAGAAATGAACCAGAATTTTGAACAGTAGGTTGTTGTTCTTCGACAGGCTCCTCCATGATTGTTGTTTTTTACTTTGAATATTTTTTCTCAAACATAAGTTCTTGCTTTTTTAAGGCACAAACGAACACAGAACTTGTGTCCGAATTTTGTAAGGGTTCATTGCTGTCGAGCGGGAAAATTTAAGCAACTAGAAAAAAGATCCTTAAAATTTTCGAAAAATCACAGTTCAACTGCTCCCGGCATCCTCTCTGTTATCTACTCGCTTTATTTTCTGGCACCTGCCCTATTAACAATCCATTGATGATGTCTCATTTTCCTATTTGCTAAAATATTAAACAGCTGTTTTAACGGCAGTTTAACAGCACGCGTGTCAATTAGATAGAGAGAGTAAGATTTCTCAGCAGCATTGAGAGTGGGGGTGTGAACGAAGTATGAAAGTTTTGAAGAGCAGAGGGAGCTGGAAGTGGGATCCACGCGTCACACCCAAGAAAGGGGAATCATCAAATGATCAGGAGTTCGAATTTCAAAATTCAAAACAAAAAAAAACCTTAAGCCCGTGTTGGAAAACCGCTTTTTAACGGTTAAAGATGGGAGATTAGTCTAAACCTTTGCTGGGTCCAGCCCAAGTCCAGCAACAAATCCTCAAATTTTTGTCTTCTGCTCTTAATGGACACCAGAGTTACAAGACATCAAGCATGTTTTACATGGCCCATGTTTGCCCAACACTTTTAATGGTTGTTGGCCTTATTTCTTGAGCTTTGGTCTCGTAGGTTCAATCGTTCGATGCTAACTACAAAATATTATAAGCTTCTCTTTGTTCAAAGAGCGTAAACATAGGCTTAATTGAGTAAATATGATATTTTTAAGATGTGATATTTAGAAACCCTTAACGCAAGAAACTTTCACAGCTCATGAGATGAAGATCTAGCATTGACAAAAGACCAAATCAAAGCTCATTCACGTGCATTGAATTTGACTTTTACCCAGAAAATAATGAAGTAATGAGATTGGTTTCAACAGTTGTTTTTTTTTGGCATCAAATTTCACTGATTTTAGCCACTAACCATTGTTAGAGGTGGCGTAGTTTTAGTTGGATGTGAACAGATAATAATCTTGTCCATAGGAGTTAGTTGAATTGGTAAGATTTAAATATTTCATTTATAAGTTTAAATTTAAATTTTATTATCAATAAATTTTTTTGATAAATGATCTGTAAATCGAAAATAAGTTATTTTACAATGAACTTTGACAAAAAAACATATAATAATCTTAAAACAAATAAAAACACCATTTAAATCTTTTTGCTTCTATAAAAATGAGAGCTATGTGTACCAAGAAATGTTATTTTTGGTTCCTTTTTTCCCAAAAGGATAGCTCGATGTATAAATCAAATTTAGATAATTGAAAATGGCAGCAACTAAATGCTAACCGATGTTTGTTGACGAGCCCACGCTACCTAACTCATCAAAACCTTTACCTGCTAAAGAGATACTGTTGTCATTAAATTATTTTTCCATTTCATTGCCATTTCCCATTTGGTTGGTAGACATTTTAAGAAAGAGGAAAGTTTGGAGAAACCTACAAATGAGTGATACTAGCCAACCACGAGAACATAAATGGAAAAAACATAAAATCATAAAGTTCATTTGATACTATATAAAAAATAATTTTTATCGTGTTACATTCACGTTAACGATCGAATCTTTAAAAATTCAATTATAAAATAATCGGATCAACTTTAGACAATAATTTTAAGTTCAAAATATTTTCACTTTATGTTAAATGAAAAAATCTGCTATAATTTTGAAACATCTTATCATGATAAAAGGTATTGAGCAGACATTGAACAACTACTTGATGTAAAGGTTTTTTTTTTTTTTTTTTTAATGTGGTTTCTTATCTTTAATAAAGTGGTGTGGAGTAGGTGAGATGTATTATCCATAGGAGTAATAGGATGTTGAATTGTGAAGTAAATGTATTTTTAATATTACTAATTACATTTGTTTAATGACAATAATGGAGGTTGCACGAGGTTAGATTGACATACAGTAGTTGTACTAAATTGCTAGAGTAAGAAAGAATAAGGAAAATTAAAAAAAAAAAGTTAACTAAAATATTAAAAAAAACCTCTGAATTATTTGATTTTTCATATATAAAATTTTATATTTTTGTTATATTTAAATAAAATTATATTTCAAATAAAAGATTGATCTATATTTAAAACTTATTTATATATAAATTAAAGATTAAATATTTATTTGAATACAAATTAAAAATTTATTTAAATATAAATTAAACATTAAAAATGATCTGAGTATAATAAAATATAAAAATTTATTTAAATAAAAGATAAAGTTTAAGAATTTTTTTATGATTAACAAAAAAACTTTTTATTATTTTAATTAAAAAAATTAAATACTCAATTTTAATATTTAGTGAATTGCTCAAATGAGGATATATCTTTTCAATTGACAAGAATCTAACGTTTTAGGATTGTGACGAATTTAAATATTTTCCGATAAAATTGGCACGTAAATTAAACACACTGTTAAATTAAGCAACTGTGACAGATGATTATTAATCTTACTAATTAGGATGCCAGCGTATACATAATCAAGTCAAAATAAGATTATTTCAATTTTTTTTCTTTTAAATCAAAACTCCTTTATCTATTTGCATGAATTTCTTTCAAATTTTTTGAGCATTTTTTAAATCTTTTTCAATTACCAAAAATTACACACACACGCATATATAATATATATATATATATAACATTTAACAAAACATTAATTAGATATATAAAATTATATAAATATCTAATTAATGGGAGAAGGACGACGCAGTTAATGGGAGGTTGCGTCGGCTATCGAAAAATCGTCAAGTCTGAGTCTGAAGAGAGAGCAGAAAATGAGAGTAAGCGGAGAGACGAGAAAACTTAGAAAGGAGATTCTCACGGGGAGTTGAGTGGTATAGGGGCAGCGTAAAAAGGCTAATAACATAATATTTATATTTAAATTTATAATTTTAAAATTATATATTTATATAAATATATATGAAATTATTATAATGTTTTTGTTTTTATATACAATAGTTATTTTAAGTTTATTTTGATTTATTTTCTTTCTTGAAATTTATTATCCATATTTCTTTTTGTTAGAGTAAAAAAAATCAAATTTTTTATTAAATATGATAAAATTAACATCCATAATTGCAAAGTAAGGGGCGAGTGAGGTAATATGATTGGCTATAATGACCACATTGAACCTCTCGTGGGTTCCTTGCTTCTTTCTTGGCCCTTTGTGCTTTGTTTCTTTTTTTTTTTTTTTTTGACACAAGTCAACTACATTCACTCATCAGTCACTACTCTACGGCTTGCGGCAAACCTGCCATGTTCTCTTTACTCCTCTCCCTCCAGCGTTGCTCTCGTGCACGTTCTCCACCTTCTCTCCTCAAACTCCATTTACCATACCACCACTGCCTTTCCCCGTGAATCTGCCGCTAACCACAAACGGCTCATATTCACCACGCGCCATAAAACCCGCGTACGCCAACAAGCTCCTGGTAAAAGGTCAGAAGCGTAATTTGGACATGCGTCAGAATACAGAAGCTCAAGGTGGACACTTGTTCCCGAATTTATTCATCCCAATCATCCCCTATTCCAACGCCTAGAATCCTCTCAATCTCAACAATCAAAACTCCCTGTCGGGGACAACCCCAAAACACTATCTCCATCTAACGGTTTAAAACATCCGATCCAAACTCATTAACTAAAATTGGTTACACCAGATTAGGTACCGTTATTTTTTTCATAATTTCCAAATTCAGGTATATTTTTGGAAATTCCCTCACATTCAGTGCAAAGGCTACTCTCATTTTTCTCTTCTTCTACTTTATTTGCTTGTAAGCTCACTCTGTCTCTCTTGGGCTAACTTCTTCATGGTACATTTTGCTTTCTATTTTCTCGATTTTTTTTATAAATATTTTTAGTTTTTTTTCTACGATTTCTAAAAGAAGAAAAATTTTGAAAAAAAATTCATGGTTCGGTGTTTTTGAAAACCAGGAATGGTAGATTTGAGCTTCGAAAGCATTGCATTTGCGAGGCAAGTATCAGATCTAGTGTAAATTTGTTACTCTTAAAAGAGCTTTCGTTTGTATATTTTCTTTTGGCGCGATATCTCTTGCCTTTTGGTTTCAGTTTTCAGAAGATCGTAAAATGTCAGGGTTAATAACTTTAATTTCTTAAAGTTTTTGAAAGTTGGCTTTGAATTTGTTAGGTCGTTGGATTCTTAGCTGTTTCTAGTAATTTGCTTTGCTAATTTTTTTTTCCGTTTAGAATTGTTTATATGACGTTTTGTACAGTAACTTGTTTTATTTTTATTTCTGCTTTCGTTGGGCGTTGTATTTTTTTTTTTTGCTTTTTATTGCTCGTTGAATTTATGGTTGATGTTTTCTTAAGCTGTTATCACATAGAATGATGCTGAAAGTCGATTACCGGTATTTGCAGTTTCTCCTGATCTTGCGTAATGGGAAAATCACCGGGAAAATGGATTAAAACTGTGCTTTTTGGAAAGAAATCTTCCAAATCTAGTTATCCTAAAGGAAGGGAGGTAATATTTATTACTAATTACTACTAAACAACAAATATATGTTATATAAATATATAGAGAAGGGATCAATTTACACCAGTGTAAAACTAAAAAGTTTTACATCTTTTTCTAACCATTGATCTCAATAGGAATGGGAGAAATAAGTCAAAAAGAGAAAAATTTTTAATCTCATCTTTTGGATCTATTGAAATCAATGGTTAGAAAAATGGTAAAACAAAAAAGTTTTACATTAGTGTAAAATAATCTCTTCTCAAATATATATATATATATATATATATATAAATATATGCAAAGATTATGTACAGCAGTAAATTCTTGTTTGTAATGCTCTGATGTACTTATAATTGTTTCCTTTAAACCATTTGGACATGATGAGAATGTATTTTCTATCAAAAGAACTTGATATGGCTTCTTAGGATTCCATTTCCTGATGTACCTTTATCAATTGGGTTTTGCTGGTTTCAAGAAGTGATGCATTAAAGAACTTGATCTAGATATTTCTTTCAGCCACACTTTGCTTTGTTGCTTATTAACTTGTGATTTGTTGTTCAATCTTGGATTGAGAGGCATGAGCAGTTCTTAAACTGCCCCTTCCAATAATGCAAACTCTGTTTTTCCAACTTCTTATGTTGTGATTTAACCACTGTCATGTTTCTCTCCATAGTTTATATCTAAACAATGTTCAGTTTAGGGATGGTTCCTCTGTTGTTTGGTTTATTTTTGATGGCTTAGTTCCCGCTACAGAGAAAGTTAACACTAAGTAATTGTAAAGTAAATGATTAACTGATTCAAATATTAGCTGCCTGGGAAGTTCTTTGGGAGCTGTTGCATTTAACATGGTTATTTTGATGCTTTGAACTTGGGAATATATGATTCTTTCCTGGAATTATGATTAATTCTTTGCTGCCGTTTTCATCAGTGGTAAGCTTAATGCGGCCGTATTGTTCTTCTGCTGAGTACTATTTATTCACTCTTTAGCACTGACTAATTAAAATAATAGTGATTTGGCATCTTTCTCCCATCAATCCTAAAATAATAATCTATGCTTTCTGTTTTTTAATTGGACTGTTATTTGCAGAAGGTTGTCAATGAAAGAGAGGTGTTGGTTGTGGCCAGGGCATCAGAAACCAATGTGGCTGTGTCTCCTCCCTTCTCTTCACAGCTGAATCCATATGCCAATGAGAGAGATGAAAGGAAATTAGAATTGGAAAACAAGGAAGCTGCAAATATCTTGCATGATGACGGGATATCAGTGCCAATGAGTCGAGGCATAGATTCTAAGAAGTCCGCCCTTCAAGATACACCTTATGATCCTGAAAGGATGAAGCAAGAACAGGCGGCAACCATGGCGCAGGCTGCTTTTAGGGGTTACCTGGTATTCTTCTCCTATTGTCTGTGAAATCTTACCATCAATTTTCAAATAGTTTATATAGCCCAGGAAGAACCTTTAGTTGATATTATACCTACACTGATATCAGTTCATTATGTGAAGGCTCGCCGGGCATTCCAGGCTCTCAAAGGCATTATAAGGCTGCAGGCACTTATTCGTGGTCACTTGGTTAGGAGACAAGCTATTACTACTTTGTGCTGTATGATGGGAATTGTGAAGCTACAATCACATGTTCGTGGAGTAATGGCCAGACATTCTGATGGTGGTCTTGAAGTGCAGAAAAAATGCAAAATGAACCTTCTGGTAATTTCTTTGAGAACTCTATCATGGACCAATTACTAGTCATGATTCATCTGGTTAATACTTTTAGGAAATGCAGTCATTCTGGTTGCTAATAATTGAAATTTATCTTACAATCACTATTCTTGTCATTCAGATTTATTAGGTGTACCTACTACTTTGCTACTTTCGGTTTTTATATATTAAAAAGGTATCAGCCCTTAGATGGTACAGGTGTAAACGGAATTGACTTGCACATCATCAACCAAGTTTAGTGAGAATGGTTAAAAGAGGTCTTTCGCCTGAGGTTGTTTTAGCAAAATTTAACATCACATACTTCGGGTATTCAGATATAAATTGAGTGGTGAAAATGTTTTTGAAGCTAACCCCTTGCCATTTGTTTGTAATCTTCTACTTCCAGCAATCACAATAAGCAGGATGTAGTAGTATATATGAATTTTTAAGTGAAGAACTTGTACTTCAACTTTTGTCCTCAATCTTTCTGCATTAAATTTGTATTTATTCAAGAAATAGGTAAGCTAGCTTATTTTTGCCTTTAATCCTTATTTCGTTGTTTGGCAGGAGAGCAAGCTCGTGGTTTCTCTTGGAGTTAATATGCCTGCACGCATTGGAAAGTTGTCTGCAAGTGCTTTTGTTCAAAAGGTATGTCTGGTGTTGTGCTTACAGTATTTCTTATTTATGAAATTGAAAATAAATAGAATTTACCTTGATATTGTGCCACATCACTAGAGATGACTCCATATGCTGTCTATTATGCTTTGATGGCTTTATCCTTATCTATAAGCTCCTTTTGATGGGGAAAACATTACCTGGCCTTAGGATTTGCTTATCCTTCATATCTTGGTACCGTGGAAGAAGCAATTGCACATGATTTATTCAGGCATTCATATGGTCATTTGCTCCATGAATTAAATCGATGGTGGAAATAGATGAAAGTTACTATTTTATTCCTGTTCAGTGAAGCTTCAGCATGCTGACTTCTCTTCTTGCTCATACATAGTCTTCCATTGCATTAATGTTAAGTAGGCTCAAAAATATCATCTAACTTTTGGTTGCACCCAAAAGTATTGCATATCAGAGACGTTTGGGAGTTTGATTGATATTATCTGTCACTAGATCATGCATAGGTATTTCTCGTAGTATCTTTAAGAAAATCTGAATGTGGACCCCCAAAATATTGCGCATAAGACACATTTGGCAGTATGCATCCATCAATTGTAATCAAACCTAAAACTGTCTTGTTTCTCATGGCACCTAAAATATTGAGTGTTAAGAGGTGTTTGGCAATTGATTGATAGTTAGCTATCCCCTATCAGTAGACTTGATTTCTTAAATTGGAATATCATTTAATTTGTGCCTTTCCTTTTACCTTCCTTTTCTTTCAAATTGGGCAAGTGACTGCTGGGTTTGTTTCTTTAGCTTGTTGCTTCATCACCTACTGTAATTCCTTTGCGCCTCCGTTTTGATGCTGGGGAACCAAATTCAGTCTGGAACTGGTTAGAGCGCTGGTCAGCATCCTGGTTCTGGAAACCTGTTCCTCAACCGAAGAAAACCTCTGACTCTAAATTGCAGAGGAAGCAGGCTAATAGTCAAGCTATTGAAATGGATACAGGTCGACCAAAACGGAGTGTCCGCAGGATTCCTCCTGCAAATTTGGATGGTCCTTCTCTACAAGCAACCTCTGAATTTGATAAGCCCAAGCATAACCTGAGGAAAGTTGCCAGCCATCCAGCTGAGTTAGTGCAGGAAAACCCACAAAATGAATTTGAAAAGGTTAAACGCAACTTGAGAAAGGTTAATAATCCTGTAGTAGAAATTTCAGTGCAGCCAGATGCTGACTTTGAGAAGCCAAAGGCAAGTTTGGAAAAGGTCTCAAGCACTATTAATCTTGGTATTGTGGAACAGAGCCTAAATAGTTCGGCTGAGAAGACAAATAAAGAGACATTCTTGACAGTGAATAGTTCAGATGAGAAGATGAAGGAAGAGATGGCCATGACGGTAAATAGCTCAGCCGAGAAGATGAGAAAAGAAATGGCCACAGTAAATAGCTCAGCGGAGAATATGAAGGCCTTGACAATAAATAACTCAACTGAGAAGATGAAGAAAGAGAAGGCTATAACAGTAAATAGCTCAGCTGAGAAGATGAGACAAGAGACGGCTATATTAAATAGCTCAACTGAGAAGATGAAGAAAGATGCGGCCTTGACTGTAAATAAATCAGCTGAGAAGATGAAGAAAGAGATCGCTGTAACATTGAATGGCACAGCTGAGAAGATGAGAAAAGAGATGACCGTGGCAGTGTCAAAATCACCTGACATTGAAACAGTAAATAAATCAGCTGAGAAGATGAAGAAAGAGATTGCTGTGACATTGAATGGCTCAGCTGAGAAGATGAGAAAAGAGATGACTGTGACAGTTTCAAAATCACGGGACATTGAAACTACGATGGGGCCATTAGGGATGAATGAGACGTCAGATTTATTGCATGCTGATCCTGCTGCTGTTGACTCGAAGCCTTTGATAGATAGGACAGTTAAGGATGAGAATACTCCCATAATAAATGTGGAGATGAACAGGAAGGACGATTCAGCGAACAATGAGAATCAGAAGTCTGGTAGGAAAGCTTCTAATCCTGCAAAACAAGATCGCATAGAGAATGGGCCTCAAAGCAGTCCTGCAGTGCCAAGCTACATGGCAGCAACTGAATCTGCCAAGGCTAAGCTGAGACTGCAAGGCTCTCCTCGATCTGGGCAAGATGGAGGTGACAAAAATAACCTCACTCGGCACCAGTCTTCGCCATCTTCAGCCAATAGCAAAATCAGCTCACAGTCACCAAGGACACAGAGACCAGTTCATGCAGGGAAAGCAGGGAGCAAAAGCGACAGATCTATGTTGTCATCCAGAGATGGAAACGGTATGAAATGCTGATTCTAGGCTAGAATTTCGTATAAGTTTTACTCATAGCTCGTCTCAAATGTTAATAAATACACCTCTTGTTTTTGTTTGATCTTGCAGCAAAGGCAACTCAAGTAGAGTGGAGGAGGTGATCTTGTGAAATATTGAGATTTGAGGAGTTAGTATCAAGGGGTTCAAGATTCACATGTTATACCTTTGGTGTAAGATTAATAGAATGTGTCGTGAAACTGAAACCGTGTCTGTAGACGAAGTTGTATGCAGGCGGCGTGCATCTGAAAATTTTATGTATTTGTGGGTGTTTGTGAGTGAGTGTAAGTCAATTGGTTTTGAACTTTCAACATGCCACAATCAGCATTGTTATTAAATATCAGTTCGTTTGTTCCCAATTTGCCTTGCTACCGATGTTCTATTGTTGCTATTATGAAATGAAAATTTTCATTTCGTTCGTACCTTATTTCGTGCAAACACAATTATTCTCCTCGGCATTTGACTCATTTACATTACAGGTTATTATCGTGTCTGCACGGACGGACACAATGTAGCGAATGGTTTTCCTGTCTCAAATTATTATTATTTTTATTATTTCAGAAATTAAAAAAAAATTTAGATTATGATATATATATATAATATTAAAATTTTTAATTTTTTTATAAAATTGATGTTTTAACGTTTTTAATGTATGAAAATTTAATTTTGGAATACAAAAGAGATAAAAGATTTATCAAAGTGTTTGGTGAATATTTTATTCCGTGTGTTTTCTCCAACTTAATTTTATTCTATCGTTCGCTTTAAAAATAGAGAACTAAAAGAGATTTTGATCAATTGGCCAGTTCCAGTCAAAGTCGGAATTGTCATTCTCTTTGAACACCCATTATTTACAATTTCACAAAAAGTATTGCTAAATGTATTTCAACCTTTTCTCTCACACTTCAATTTTTTTTAAAATGAAATTCCTTAATTACTTTTCTCTTTTAAACAAGTTTTTAGAAATAAATTTTTGAAAAACCTTAAAAGTTTTTAAAAATTCATTTTTGGAAACATTTAATACTTTATAAAAATTTATTTTCGAAAATTTTAAATGCATTAAAATATTTTAACACAAAATTTTATAAAATTAAGTTCGAAATTAAATAAAAAAACAAAAAAAATAAATGATTTGAAATTCTTAAAATTAAAAAAACACTTAAAAATTTCACTTATTTGAAGTAAAAAAAATTATAAAAGCAAAGGTAAATTATTTATTTATTTTTTTACTTTTTGTTTCATTTCATATTTGATTTCATAAGATTTTATGTTAAAATATTTAAGTGTGATTCATAACTTTCGACTCGAAAATAAATTTTCGTAAAATTTTAAAATTTTTCAGAAATTAATTTTCATATATTTGTGTGAAAGAAAAGATAATTAAATATATTTTTTTACAAAAAAAAAAAAAAAAGCTGGAGCGTGAAGAGAAAATGGTGACGATGCATTTGGCAGCACTTTTTCACAAATCTCATAAAATTAAAATATCTTTAAAATCCCATTTTACTCCAATATTTTAATAATTTAAAAAAAACACCCCAAACATAAAATCATTCGATTTGATTGGTGGCAACACTCTGATTACCATAACTGGTTAGAAAATCATCAAATAGCAAGCACAATAAACAAAAAAAAAAGTAAAAAAAAAAAAAAGACCGAAATGAATGAGAGAAAGAAAGAATGGAGGAAGTTGGTAGTGGTTGAAGGGTTATGCCTACCAGGTGGAAGATCTAGGTGAGAAGAGAGACATATTTCATCTTCAGGTGGTTTGGAACAACGGAGGATGACGTTTTTTAGGATGAAAATCGTGAGCTTAGAGGCAAGATATAGGTTTTTCTAGGTTATTTTCGGAAAAACCAAGTGGGTATCGGTGAAAAGGACGTTGAGATTAGCACGCAGGTAAAATGTGGTTGAAATTTACGTCGATCAATGGCGGCAGGTGATTGTTGCCGGCGCCGATCAATGGTGGTCGACAGGGCTGGTGAAATTTTTGGTTTAGAGAGAGAAAGGGAATAGGGAAGAAATGGGGAGGAGAGAGAAAAAAAAAAGAAAAAAGGAAAAGAAAGAAAAAGGAAAAAAAAAAGAAAAAATCGAAGTTTTTTATTAATTTTATTAATTAATAATTTTTTAAATTCTATTGGATTAATTTTATTTTTAATAATTAATTATGATTAATTTTCTTTTATTTAATTATTATTAATTAATATTAATAATGAGAGATAATTGAGTTAATTAATAATTACTTTTATTAAATAATTATGATTAATATTATTTTATAATAAATTATAATTAATTTAATAAAAAAGTAAAATAATATTTTAAACTTATTTTAATAATATTCTTTGAACTAACCAATCATATTAATACTAATTCCTACTATATTCTATTCCAACAAACTACATATCATAAAAATTATTCTATTCTATTCCTCCTTTTTACCATTCTCACATAATATCAATTCCATTAATTAATATCATAATAATTAATTATGATTAATTTTGTTTTAATTAATTATTATTAATTAATAATTAATAATGAGAGATAATTGAATTAATTAATAATTACTTTATTAATTAATTATGATTACTATTATTTTATAATAAATTATAATTAATTTAATAAAAAAATAAAATAATTTTTTAAACTTATACTAATAATATTCTTTGAACTAACCAAACATATTAATACTAATTTTTTCTATATTTTATTCCAATAAAATACATATCGTAATAATTATTTTATTTTATTTTTCTTTTTTACTATTCTCACATAATATCAATTCCATTCCTTTTTTTTTTTTCATTCCGTCAATCAAACGTCCCGTAAGCGTAATAATTTTGAATCATTTAAAAAAAGATAATAAAAAAAAAGAAATAAATGGAATATACAATTAATCTACTTGGACAAACAAGGGAGTTTTTATTTACACTTCATTTTTTTCTTTTCATATCCCATTTTTATTATAAAATTATCACTTAGTGAAATTATTTAATTACTTTTTAACAAATACACCCATTTCTTTTTCTTTTTCTTTTTTTCTCAAAATTGGTTACATCACAAACCTTAAATCATTAAAATTATTCCTCTTATCTTGTACATTATGAAAATGGATATATAGATAAAAAAGAAAACTAATTGAGATGAAAAATGTCCAATAAATGATAAAGTAAGTCACTTCATTTGCAATTTCAATTGAAAAATTAAAAAATTTATAAAATATATATTTTTTAAGTTAAAACACTTTTTGAATATGTATATTTAGTAATTATATTAAATTATCATATATAGATCCGATAAATATTTTAATTTATCAAAAATATATATCTGAAAATGTAAATATGACTTCCGTAAACTCTTCTTACGTAAACTCTTCCGAAAATGAAATTTGAGTGTAAAAAAAAAAAAATAGAGTGCAAATAAAAACTCCCGACGAAAATTGTAAGTCGTAGAGATTGTCAAATCTTTTTTTATGTTTTCTTTTTTGATTTGGGAAAGAAAAGATTCAAACCTATTTTTTAGTAATAAATTCATGCATCTATTATTATACTAAATGGTCAAATGGTGCCTAATTTTTAGGGATTTGGCTTTTTTCCTTTTTTAATATTAAATGGAGAATTCTGTTTATGGTTAGATTAAATCACGCATAAATATAAAAGAAATCTAAACAGTATTATGTCAGAGTTGTAAATAAAAAAAAATTGTTAGGTAAAAAAACAAAAACAAAAAAATTTTTAGCATTAAAAGAATAATTATAGATTTTATTTGTGATGATATGATTTTTCATTTGACTATCAATAAAACTCTCCATTTAATATTGAAAAAGAAGAAGAGTCATATCTAATTTTAAAATTAAAATATATTTATTTAATTATTGTTGTTAAAATATTAAATTTTGTGTAAACATCAATTTAAAAAAAAAAAATCCTAGTTTATGCCTGACACTTTAAAGCCTTATTTTACTTAATACACTTATAGTTTAGTTTGATGGTTTAGCTTTATCACATGATAATTGATACATATTTATAGGCTACTTTAGTAAGACTTTTTTCCAAAAGCGATTCCTTGAATTTGCATCCCACAATCAAAGAAGCAATTAGTTTTAGATAATTATGAGTAAATTCATTATTTTATTTTTTTAACAAAATACACGTACGTAGATTAATTCATATATCTATATTAACGTGATTAAATACTATTGTCCTCAATTACTTGAATGCGGACAATAGTTGGTAAAGCTTTGGTCATATGATCTGCAAATATTAGTTTAGAACTGATATGTTCAATTTCCACCTCATGTTTTTAGATATGATCTCTGATAGTATGACTTTTGCTATTGTTAATCTTACTATGACTTTTGCTATTGTTATTCTTATTAAAGGCTGCTGCAATCTGTAGTTGAGTTGTTACATTATAGGTCTTTCAATAAAATTAACAACTCTGATTTCAAAAATAAAATTTTGAATCACAATGATTGTGATGTGATTTCATAGCATTACGAATCTTCTCAAAAAATTTTTGAAAAAGAAAATCCCTTATTTCATGTAGTAACCCCAAATCAATGCTTTATTTCAAATTGGCTATTCTTCTCCTCTCCATTTTAATAGGATTGAAGAGAAGGGCAGAAATGGATAATTTTGAAAAAAAAATGAAAAAAGAAAGTATGATGTGAAACAAACCAAATATAGTTATGGGTAAGCCATAGTGTGATGCAAAAAATTAAAAAAAGGAAAAACCAGCTATATCTAGTGTATTTTGATAATTGTTTTAATTTGTCAATTTCATATTTCACATAATTTTTATAGGGAGAGATCAACTAATATGAAAAAGTTTTACATTTTTTTTCTAACCATTGATTTTAACAGCTTTAAGATGAGATTAACTCTTTTTTTTTTTCTCACTTGTATCTCTTTGCATCTATCAAAATCAATGACTAAAAAAGGTGAAAAAGTTTTTAGTTTTTAGTTTTGCCTCTATTGAGATCTAGGCCATACTAGATTGAGAGTCACCAACCAAGGTCATGGAACTGAGATCATTCCTTGGGTTGGTGAACTACTACAGATGCTTCATTAAAAGCCATTCTACCATCGCCACACCATTGACGAACTTGCTCAAGAAAGAGAGAGTGTAAGATTGGAGTCAGGAGTGCCAATAAGCCTTTGATCGACTAAAGTGTGTGGTGATAGAAGAGCCTGTGCTAGCTTTGTCAAATTACACTAAGTCATATAAGGTGTATATGGACACATTAGACTTTGCAATTACAGGGGTGTTGATGCAAGAAAATCATCCCTTCGCATTTGAGAGCCAAAAGCTCAATGAGATTGATCGTATATACACGGTCTAGGAGAAGGAGATGACAACATAGTACATTATTTGCGCACATGGAGACATTACCTATTGGGATCCAAATTTGTGGTTAGAAAAGACAATGTTGCGATAAGCTACTTCTAGACTCAAAAGTAGTTGTCCCCCAAGTAGGCTAGATGGCAAGATTTTCTTACA